CTCATCAGTACTAACAACAGGTGTATCAATATGCTCAACGAACTGAAAAGTAGTACTTACATCGCCTGAGGTAAAAGGGACATCAGTAAGGGGGATGAGAACGAGAGTGACGAACATAAACCTACAAGGGAAGAGAAACTGGTGACTTTGTACTGACAGGGATGAGTGGCTCTGGAGGAGGAGAGATCGATGACTCTGTAGTGATAGTGACAAATGGCTCTGGCTCTGGTGGTAATGAACAATCAAAGGGAGTATCATCAACTATAGGGGGGCAGACACAGGACTGAAAGAAAAATAAGGAGTATGCTCAAGAAAGGAAACATCTAGACTGTGATACATACAATGCCAAATAGGATCATAACACTGATACCCCTTAGACAGATGACAATAGCCCACAAAAATACAACGAATCACTTTATTATCAAGCATATGACGAGTAGGAGACTGATCCTGAACAAAATATGTGCATCCAAAAATATGAGGGGGGACAAAAAAAAGTGTCCGTTCAGGAAATAAGACCTATAAGGGAGCCCTATGCTGAAGAACATGATTCGACGTACGATTGCACAAAAAGGTATAAGTCAAAACAGCAAAATATCAATAAGATTTTGGTACCCCCATGCCTCTAAGCATACAACGTATCATCCCTATTAGACTCCTATTTTTTCTTTCAGCAACGCCATTTTGCTCATGAGTATATGGACAAGTGAGTTGCTGAAGAATACCCTGAGAAGAAAGATGAGACACTAAAGCATCAGATACATATTCTTTGGCATTATCCGAACAAAGAGTACGAACAATGACATCAAATTGTGTCTTAATCATTTGTAGAAACAAAGTAATTATAAGGAGTACATCGGACTTCCTATGCAAAAGGTAGACCTAAGTACAATAGGTATGATCATCTATAAATGTCATATAGTATCAAACACCTGACAGAGCAATAAGAGGAGAGGGTCTCCAAAAATTAGAGTGTATTAGGTCAAATGGCTTGGGTGACTGGTGCATATGAGGAATATAATTGGTCCTATCATGTTTCGATAGGGAACATATAACACAGTCAAGTTTACTACCAACACACACATTGCTCAAAGTAGAAAACAACATATATAAATATTTAAAATTTGTATGTCCAAACAGTCATGCCGCAACTGAACAATTTGTGATGAAAAATCATAACGACAACTATTAGGTAAAATACTAGCATGCAAACTAGGAACAGATAAAGACAAAGTAGGTGCAGGTGATGTAGGTAGAGGAACTGGTGAAATTGGAGGTGAATTGCCTAGATAATACAGTCCATCTCTCTCATGTCCCCTAATAATAATTTTTCTGGTACTCAGGTCCTGTAGATAAGAACACAAGCGCACAGTAAAAATCTCAGGCTAACTGATGTATAGATAATAGATTCATAGCCAACTTTGGCGCATGAAAAACTAAACGTAATGTAAAGTCATCTGGGAGGCAGACTGTACCCCTACTAACAATAAGAGCATGTGTCTCATCTGCTAACTGAACTTGTACATGTAACTGATCGTCAAAACTGGTAAAGTGATGAGCCTCACCTGTCATGTGACCATTCGTACCCGAGTCCAACATCCAAAGGGGAGACGGATTGACACAAGCATGAAAGACACGAGGTATACTTGTAGTGGTGACAGCATCAGTAGTCAGACTCTGAGAAGTCAAAGTGGACATAAGTATATCCAATCGAGAAGTGATAGCATCTATATTACTCTGCCAAGGAGTAGTAGTAGCGGTAGCAAGTGGTGGTACCTCAGCAATAGCAGTAGTACGGTCGCGAGGAGGTGGCTCAAGCTCTGGTTGGAGCTTCCAGCAAGCAGCCTTGAGATGTCTTGGTCGACCACAATAATTACACTGATGAGAATCGCCCTGTTTGCACTGATCTGGGGTACCCTGATGGCGTTGGTCTGAGCGCTGCCCACCCCTAACTGAGGATCCTGAACGAGACCCTATGATAACCACAAGGGTCATATGATCAGCCGGAGGAGTCAAGGTCGCAACTGAAAGTGATGCAATATGAACACGACGCTTATGCTACTCAATCATCGCATACACCTCATAAAGAGAAGGAAGCGTCAACATTGACAAGATTTGGGAACAAGGTCCCTCAAACTCATCACGAAGCCTTATAAAGGAACTTGTGAATCTTATCCTCCTATTGTCAAGTATGCAAGAATGCTGCTTCCTCGGGCTCTATCCTCGAAATAGCAGCAAGAGGATGTAGAGTCTCATACTCAAGCCAGCGCTGGGTCAAATAGCCATAATAATCCTGAACGGTTATATCTTTCTGCCGAGCATATGAGAGCTCCTAAGAAAGCTCATAAACACATACTCCCCGTCATGACTGGGAATACATCTTTGATAATACGCTCCATAGCTTTGGAACAAAGCTATGAAACTGGTGAATCTTGCAAACAGATAGTTCCATCGAGGCAAATAACCATCCAAGAATGACACAGTTCTCAGAAAATCACGCAGAATATCCAGGATCAGTATCAACTGGCTTTGGATGAGATTTCGTCAGCCAANCTAACTGATGTATAGATAATAGATTCATAGCCAACTTTGGCGCATGAAAAACTAAACGTAATGTAAAGTCATCTGGGAGGCAGACTGTACCCCTACTAACAATAAGAGCATGTGTCTCATCTGCTAACTGAACTTGTACATGTAACTGATCGTCAAAACTGGTAAAGTGATGAGCCTCACCTGTCATGTGACCATTCGTACCCGAGTCCAACATCCAAAGGGGAGACGGATTGACACAAGCATGAAAGACACGAGGTATACTTGTAGTGGTGACAGCATCAGTAGTCAGACTCTAAGAAGTCAAAGTGGACATAAGTATATCCAATCGAGAAGTGATAGCATCTATATTACTCTGCCAAGGAGTAGTAGTAGCGGTAGCAAGTGGTGGTACCTCAGCAATAGCAGTAGTACGGTCGCGAGGAGGTGGCTCAAGCTCTGGTTGGAGCTTCCAGCAAGCAGCCTTGAGATGTCTTGGTCGACCACAATAATTACACTGATGAGAATCGCCCTGTTTGCACTGATCTGGGGTACCCTGATGGCGTTGGTCTGAGCGCTGCCCACCCCTAACTGAGGATCCTGAACGAGACCCTATGATAACCACAAGGGTCATATGATCAGCCGGAGGAGTCAAGGTCGCAACTGAAAGTGATGCAATATGAACACGACGCTTATGCTGCTCAATCATCGCATACACCTCATAAAGAGAAGGAAGCGTCAACATTGACAAGATTTGGGAACAAGGTCCCTCAAACTCATCACGAAGCCTTATAAAGGAACTTGTGAATCTTATCCTCCTATTGTCAAGTATGCAAGAATACTGCTCCCTCGGGCTCTATCCTCGAAATAGCAGCAAGAGGATGTAGAGTCTCATACTCAAGCCAGCGCTGGGTCAAATAGCCATAATAATCCTGAACGGTTATATCTTTCTGCCGAGCATATGAGAGCTCCTAAGAAAAGCTCATAAACACATACTCCCCGTCATGACTGGGAATACATCTTTGATAATACACTCCATAGCTTTGGAACAAAGCTATGAAACTGGTGAATCTTGCAAACAGATAGTTCCATCGAGGCAAATAACCATCCAAGAATGACACAGTTCTCAGAAAATCACGCAGAATATCCAGGATCAGTATCAACTGGCTTTGGATGAGATTTCGTCAGCCAACCAAGCTTCTCTACACGGCCTAAGAAAAGCTGGAATGAGCGAGACCACTTAGCAAAGTTACTGTCATTCAACAACTGTGTCGTAACTTTCTAAAAGATCATGCCCAGCAATGCTGGTAATGCAACTGTGCCAGTAGGTACTGTATATTGGTCAAACATAAAAGTGGAAGTATCAATAAATGTCTCAACGATAAAGGTGTCAACAGTAGGGGTCTCAAGTCCCTCAGTAGTAGTCATATCAACAATAATACTAGAGCATCCATAACAGAAAAATAACTCTAAGATAAATAGAGGGATAAAATAAGAGAGAACAATATACCTCTAGTCGAACAGTAGTGTCAAATAAAGAAGGTCCAGAAAGCTCTCAAATAATCAAGTCACGGTACCCGAAAATCTAATAAATATAAATAATGATCTTCTGCATCAAGAGCATATCAACGGAGAAGAGGATTCAACCCCTCTTAAAAAGGTCCTACAGTCCCAAATAATTAAACGCACGAAGGCAAAACACGATACCGTGACGAAGAGTGCGACCTAGCAGTGGGCTTGTTCGCTGGAGTGGGTACTGGCTAGCCTGGGACAGTGTGTTTGCGTACTGCTTTGGGTTTGGGTTATTGATTTAACATGACTGTTTCGGTTTATGGGTTTGGTATGGGCTGTAAAAGTGGGTTTGGTATTGTATTGGACTGTAAAAGTGGGTTGGACCGTAAAAGTGGTCTGGACAGTGGTTTCGACTGTGAGGTATTTGGTGTTGTGGGGCTGTGGGTTTGTCCGTTATATGGCGAAAGGCAGTATGTCAATTGCGTAAAGGTAGTTGCAGGTTGGTTTGGTATGGAGTGGAGGATGGGCAGTCGGTGGAGTGATCCTATCGGCTGGTGTTTGGGTTTATGCTTGGATTGATCGGTGCTTGGGCAGTGGGCTGGCTTTGGTTTGTCTGGCTTTGTCGGTTTCGATTTCGTTTTATGTTTGCTGAAGGTGCTTGGGTTAGGTTGTAAAAGATGGACTGATACGGCTGTTGGGCAGTCGGAGATGGTGGCTGCAATCGTAGTGAAGGGTGTAGGATTAGGTTTAGAAGTTTTTGCTCTGATACTAATTTGATGTATTAGTGAGTCTAAAAGGGATATAAACTAAGCGTAAATCGTATATATAGTTAATAAAAATTACAATAAAGATAAAAAAGTAAAAAAAAAAAAAATTAATAAATCCTAATAAATTAGGATGCTATATCTCCAACATATATTGTGGTTGAGGAGTTGTTCTCTTGCTTTTATTTATGATAAATGTTTGTAACTTTCATCGTTTTGAATGAGCTTGCCATTGTGCTTTACTTGTGCACGTTGATCTTAGAGCTGAACTATGTAACCTATTGTGTGATTTGTTCACTTATAACACCATGCGAAGTAATTATATTTGCGATTCTCATTCCATCTGTAACAAATCTCAAGGCACAAGAAGCAAACTGGAGCTCTATAAGAAAAAAAAAGGCTGCGGAAGCGGTTCTATACCAGAGGGAGAAAGAAGCTGAGGCTCAAAAAGCCATTGCCGAGGCTGCATTTTATGCTCGTCAACAGGTTGCCGAAGGAGAATTATATGCCATGAAAAAAGAGGCTGAAGGAATTATGGTTCTTGCACAAGCCCAAGGCATTTACATACGCACCCTAATGGACACATTGGGAGGAAATCATGTGGCTATGAGGGATTACTTGATGATTAATGGGGAACGTTTCAGGAAATCGCAAAGATCAACGCCAATGCTGTGCATGGATTGCAGCCAAAAATTAGCATTTGGACGACGGGAGGTGAGGCAGCCGGTGGTGGTGGGAGTGCTGCCATGAGGGAGGTTGCTTGTGTTTATAGGATTTTGCCACCCTTGTTTAAAACTGTCCAGGAGCAAACTGGAATGCTACCCTAGGGGCGGAGCCAGGAATTTTGTGTAGGATAAACACTTTAATTATGTATTCTAATTTTTTTTTCTTCTAACCAATCACACTATATAACATATTTATATTTATTATATTATTTTTGATATATGAAGTCCATTTAACATAAAAAATTCCAAAAAAAAAAACATATATTGCCAGGGGCGGAGCCATGAATATCTATGATAGAGGTAAAATATAACTGGTATAAAAAAATATTAAGCCAAAATTAATACAAAAAAATTCAGTTCAAAAAAAAAAAAAAAGTAAGAATCAACACTAAATTATTGTGAAATAGTAAATTCAATTTTTATTTAGCCGAAACAAAATCTTAACAAAAAGACACAAAATAATTTTTTTAGTACATTTTAACCTAATTATATATTTCAATAAAATATAAATTTTTTTAAAATCTCTAAAATTTTTTGTATATGAATTAAATGTAAATTAATTTTTGTATTTTATTAGGTTATAAACTACTATTACTAAAAAAAATGGTAAATGAAAACTAAATGTTATTCTTAAAAAGTAACGAACATTGTGTTAGATAAAAAAAAATATTGTATTTTCGTCAATATACAAATAAAACATTGACTCAATCTAAAACTAACATATTTATTTTAGAGGGTTAGTGGTCCACTAATTTATTAAAAAAAAAAAGACTAAAAATNTATTCTTAAAAAGTAACGAACATTGTGTTAGATAAAAAAAAATATTGTATTTTCGTCAATATACAAATAAAACATTGACTCAATCCAAAACTAACATATTTATTTTAGAGGGTTAGTGATCCACTAATTTATTAAAAAAAAAAAGACTAAAAATATTATTAAAATTTTCAAAAATTTAAGGGATAAATATAATGTATAAAATAATTTTATAGGTTGGTACGAGAAAGAACAAAAAACCTCAAGGAACTGAGCTTCTCGTGTGTTGAGTTTTTCTCTGTTTCTTCTCTTTTTTTTTTTTTGGTTGGACAGTGAGCAGCTGAAAGTGAGTGATACAAAGAGAAAAAAAAAAAAAGGAAAGATAAGATAGATTTTTAGTCAAGTGGGCAAACATTTTGTTTTTTTAATGATGGTGGGTCAAAAGTTTTGTTTTTTAATGTTGGGTCAAAAATTTTGTTTTTAATATTGGGCTAAAAATTTTATTTTTTTAATAGGTTTGAGTGGATTGTGATAGGACAAATATTTGATTTTTTAATAAGTTTAGATAGATAATAGTGAGTTCATTTTTTTTTTATTTTAAATGGACTTAATTGTTTAATTATTTTGAATAAATAATGTGAACTTAATATAAATGAAGGACACACATAATATATATAAATATATAATACATATATCTAACTAATACCAAAAAAAAATATTGAGGGGGGCACCCCCGGGTTCTACCTCCCTCCTCCCATGGCTATCCCCTGCGTGGATAGGTGCCTTGACTGATTCTAGTCATTCTACATGAAATAAGAGCTTTGTGATTTGGACTTATTTCTTTGCCAGTTCGTCTATGCTCAATATGTGTTTTATGTTTTAGGTAATTAGCTTTTTGATTCAAATGTTAATTTGCATAATTAAAGATTTTGAAATTATGCAAATAATTAGATCAGTAATGCTAAGTTGAGCAAATTTTAGGACCAAATTAAAAGTTCAAATGATATGACAGTATATTATTTGAAGTTTTTATTGAGACCCAAATGACGTAACACCAAATAAAGAAGTTCAAGTCAACTGTCATGTCATTTGAACTCTTAATTTGGTCACAAAATTTAGTCAGCATTCCTGTAATTAGATTAGATAGTTACTTTATCGCATTAGATTTTACAATCTTCCCATCTCATGCACCACGTAATTATCGGACTTAACCTGCGGCTAAAATTGCAATGGTGCATGAGAGATCATCTCCCGGCCCAAGTGATACTTTTCTTTGCATATCTTTTTCAAATTCATCTCATTTTCAGCAAATTCAAAATTAACTAAGATTGTGGAAATGTGTGGTGTTTAGGGCATGAAAAATGTTAATTGGACCTAAAAAATTGACATAATTTGTTGACCTAAATGACGTGATTTTATTGAAACTATTGGATAAACACCAAATTTTAATGTTTGATAGAACTTACAGTTAATTCAAATATCATAATAAATTAAATTAATAAATTAAGTCTCAATAATATTGATGCGAGGGCATTCACTGCAAACCACTTTTGGTTTTTTTATTAGAAAAGTTGTAGTGCCTAATGAGTGGGGATAAATTGTATCAGCTTTGTTTTCAGATAGGGCTACCAAATACTAATCTACTGTATCCACATTATTTTAGAGTGCTCATTGTAGCCTTATTAATTAAAGAATAACATGTTGCTTTCACTTATTGTAGATATGTATTATTATTTTGCTTTTATCCGTATTCTAAGATATTGAGTGATAGCATTTCTAATTATTTTTTTTATTCAAGTAGCATTTGTCTTGCATTTCTATTTTTTTTTTCTTCCCAAGGTACATTTACTTCCTTCAAGCTTGATCGCAAACTTAATAGTATATATTTTTTGATCCAAAAAAAAAAATAGTATATATTCACATATATCTATATATATATACTTCTAATAAATGTATCGTAATATGAAAAAAAATTTATTTTTCTATTTTATCCTTATAAAAAATTATAAAGATCACTCTATCATTTCATAATTAAGTATATATACACACACACATATATACTATTAATAAAAGTACTTTAACATGAAAAACGTTTGATTCTCTATTTTACCTTTATGAAAAATTTCAAAGACCATTCAATCATTTTATAATTAAATATCTAAATTATCTATTATCTTCTTATATATTTAAATCTCTAAATTACTTCTAACATCTTTTTTAATTTTCTATTCTTTATATATAAATATCAATTTCTATTAAACTGTTTTATTGACTATATTATCTTTAAAAAATATGCATTATTATATTTTCAATAAAGGGTTAAAAAAACTTTCAAAAACTCCATCAATTTAATATTATTCATCTCATATGCAAAGATAATATCATGCACACATATATTTATTTTCTTTTTCATTAAAAAGTTTAACCCTTTTATTTCTAAAATAAAAAATATTTGTATATATAGTTTTTTTTAAATCAATTTATGCTACATCAATTTAATTTTTCAATCACAATAAACTTTCTAAGTTGTTTTAAAATTTTATATGAAAATAGTTTATAATGTATCCTTAAGTAAAACTTAATTTTTTCAAAATTTTGATATGTTTTAAAATATAAATTATAGAGTAGTATATTAAATCTTATCCTAATTGACCTAACTAATTGTTAATTAGAGTAAAGTTCCAATATGAGGAGTATATTGATAGTTACTTTTATTTTAATAAACGAATTGTAAGTAGAATCCTAATTGAATGAATTTTAAAAAATTTAAGTCCTCAAATATCACTAAAATTACTCTCAATCACAAAATTCTAAAAAAATAAAACTTTAACTATTTTTTTCTATCTCTTTTCTTATAATTAGAACAACGAATTTTGAAAATATTTAAAGTTTTCATAATCCTATAATAGAATATGAGTAATGAAAAATTAAGTCTAGTAAATTTGAAATGATATTTAATTCAAATACATATTTACTAATATTTTATATTAATTTTTATATACAAAACCTATTCACATGCAGCGCACGTGATGCATTATTACTATACTAAGATATATGTAGATGATCACTTTTGCAAATTAATACTCCAACATGCTTTTATTATTTTGACCAAAATGAATTTTTTGGCTGAAGCAAAAATAGTTTAAGGAAACACTAACAAATGATACATAAGCTTTTCTTTAAGAGATGGAAGGATTAATTCTTTGTAGTTAGTTAAGTTGATTTTCGCTTTCTAATAATTTTTTTTGCTTTTCCTCTATTTTCCTTTGATAAGTTCCTTTCTCTTAATTAGAAAACGAGGATGCACCATGGACTAAGGCTATCGTTTGGGTGCAAATAATTTAGTCAAACATGAGGACACAATTGAAAGTGATTAGTTTGTACAAATAATGTTTTACTTAGTAATGGATGCATTTCAAGGAAATTGGATAGACCCTTAGTTAATGAAGATGGAATACTTCTATCCAGCAAGCTGAAGCTGAGCTTATTTGTCCAATTTCATCACTGATTGTCCAATTTATGACACTTTCAGTAGTTGTTACTGTGACAAACAATTATTCATCACTAAAAATTAATTTTTTGTAACAAATAGTGTTGTCGTCACTCATCTTAGACGATTAGTGATAAATTCATGTGTCATCGCTAAACGGGTATCATTAATGACAAAAATAACTTAGTCACTAAAAAATTTGTCACTAAAGTCCATAATTGTTGTAGTGGTAGGCTTAAGGTTGTGGCTATCAAATCATTAGAGAATTCAAGCAATATCCCTCAAACGTAAGTAGTGAAATGCTTAGAATCGAGATTTGTATCACATATGTGTATATATAATTCTCTAACTATGTCCTTATTCACTGCCTCTAGGGCCACGAAGAGATTACCCCTTCCTCTTGACTCAAAATTCAAGGGAATGGAAGAATTCCTTACCCAAGTGAAGTTTACGCATCGCTCGACCGTCTCAGACAATTTAACATACTTGGTCCTATATCTATCACAATATTGTGGCTCTTGGAAGCGACTTCTCTCATAAAAAACATGGACCCTAGCTTTCTTCTCAACTCATGATGTCATTCCCAAAACTAATCGGTGAAAGGGTGTCAACATATGTGAATATATATCACAAATCTAAAGTTGAATAACACCTAAAATCACTCTATGCGTAGTTTGGTGATATGGATAGACAATAGGTAGGTGTTTGGAGGGTTTTTGCTCGAGTTTACAGTGAAGTGGAATGAAAATAAACGGCCAAAATCTCAGTTTGAAACCCTCGAGCCCGACTTTTAACAGAGGCTGCTTAAGCGCTCCCTAAAGCTCAGTAGTCCATCTGACTGTTTTAGCTTCCAATC